GCCAACATAAGTTCAGATGCAGTATATGGCATTTTACTATATAATTTCAGTATATCCAGTGCAATTAATTATAAAAAAATTTGATTTTGCACCACTTAGTTCAATATAACGAGTTTTCAGTATAAACAGGTTCATTATAACCAGTGACGATTGTATATGACTATATGTGAGAAATTATTCTATTTTACAAGCCTACTATGTGATCAGCCACATTGCTTTATCACTGCACCCCACCTATCACCTGACGTTTTTTATATCAGATAGAATGCTAAATTTATAGTCCCAGCATCATCACATGTGACCTGTTTCTCATATACATTCGATAAAATAATACTTTATTTATGAAATAAAAAAAAGTTGCCAAAATCTGGCCTACAATACATAAAATTTGCAAATATATCGCTACATGATTAGAATAAAAATACTAATTATTAGGGGTGTATAAGAATATGAACTTGCTTAGTGTCAGAGGACTCAGAGAAATATTTTCTAATCTCAGTACTCAGTTTCATATGTTCTTTTACATCTTTACTAAAATCATTTCTGTAGAGATCGAAATTGAAGATAATGTTATTTGCTATTTCCTATACTGATATACATAAAGAAACATAGTCAGTGAAAGTGCATGTAAGAAAGACCATTTTCCAAGTCATTTCTACCAAATATGTTATACATACCTTATTTTGCGTTATTTTCTCTGAAAAAGTTTTTTGCGAAAAGTTGACTGAACTTCCACATACTCTATATACTTTATATCTTGCTAGGAAAGAGTTAAGGAAATATGAGGCATAATTAGTATTGTTGTCTGATACTAAGAGCTCTATGGCCAAAGGCGCTAAAGCATATGCAAATGGAATCTTCATACCTTTTACATGTAGATCTACCTTGCAAGACGTATAGTTAGTTTTACACCTAACAATCTTGAAATTCTAAAGTCCTCAGCCTTTTATAACATATGCTTTTGTCGTCACTATTAACTTATAGGGTAGGTACTGTGTTGTATGTAGACCTCCTTTCACATTTTCTCACATTTGTTTGAGAAAAAAATAGAGGTATTAATTAGTATATATAACTTCTTTCGATATGCGAAAATTAATATGTCATACAAGATCTAACTGGTGATCCACTTTTTCTGTCGTATAAGAGTACATATATTGTAGATCAGCAAATTCTTGATCATCGCTCTGGACTAGTCTGAGTATCTTAAATGGAGAAGGCCATTATTACTATAGACATATTATTCTCTAATTCAGTTTCAGAGTCAGATGATTCTGTTTCAGTATACTCTGAATTATAATACTTACTTATACTGTCAAATTTACAATTATATTTGATAAACTTAATTATTATGACCTTCCCATCTGAATTAATTGCGATGAAATTAGGGAATAATAATTCATAAAATGTATATAACAAAGAAGACAGTATATCAATATTATTTCTTAGATAATAAAGTCTTTTCTTTTTATTATTTTTCCAATATCTGGCATCCCATTTATCAATTTTCTTTCCCATCTAAATTAGCCAATTATTACCTAAAACCAAATCATATTCAGGCTTATCAACAACTACAAAAGTTTCTGTATCTGTTATTACCAGAGATAGCGATTTTAACCTATAGAATATATTTGGCAAAGAAATGGAAACTTCTTCTCTACTAACCCATTCTTTTATCATCACTTTCTTGTCAGCATTTGTTGCGCTAATGTCAAGCTCTTTTACTGCAAGATATTCTGATCTGAATTCTCTAGTAATATACAGTCCCCGGCGAAAAGAATGGCGGTTTAAATACCGCATCTATTTTAGACTGAAATGTAAACTGTGTTTCTGATATAGGCCATTGTTTATATGACCAAATTAGACGCTAGAATCATAATATAAAAGGTAAGTTAAAAAAAATTATGTTTGTTTTTGTTTTTGTTGTGATTTCTTAACCGAAAAAAT